TCTTTGCTTCTCAATTTCTTCACCTTCCTATCGGTGACCTTGATTGGTTGCACGGCGTAGTTCAAATCCTCACGTACCTCTACAGGCGGCTTTTCTAATACGTGAGAGGGATCATGCACATACTTCTTGAGCATGGATACATGAAACACATTGTGTATCTTCTCTAACTCAGGAGTCAACTGTAGACGATATGCTACGGCCCCAATCCTCTCTATAATTCTGAATGGACCTATATATCGTGGGTTAAGTTTTCCTCAGGTTTGAAATCGAATGATTCCTTTCCAAGGAGAAACTTTCAAGAATACCTCGTCATCAACTTTAAACTCTAAGGTTCGTCGACGTTTATCTGCATAACTCTTTTGTCTATCCTGAGCCGCTTTGAGTCTCTCTCGAATCAACTTCACCTTTGATTTGGTGACCTCAACCAACTCAGTACCCTCGAGTTTGGCCATGCCAACCTCGTCCCAGCATAACGGTGTACGGCATCTCCTCCCATACAATGCCTCGTATGGAGGCATGCCGATGCTTGCCTGATAACTGTTGTTATAGGCAAACTCCACAAGTGCTAAGTGGTTGTCCCAACTTTCTTAGAACTCCAATGCACAAGCCCTCAGCATGTCTTCTAGGATCTGTACGACTCTTTCAGACTGCCCATCCGTGTGTGGGTGGAAAGCAGTACTGAACTTCAACCTCGTTCCCATAGACTCCTGAAATTTTGGCCAAAAACGTGATGTGAATCGTGGGTCTCTATCAGATACAATGGTCACTGGGACCCCGTGCAGCCTCACGATCTCATCCGTATACAATTTGGCTAACCTCTCAAGTGGGTAAGTAGTGTTGATAGGCAAGAAGTGCGCACTCTTCGTGAGCCTATCTACCACAACCCAAACTGCATCATAGTTCCTGATTGTTCGTGGTAAACCTACCACAAAATCCATAGTCACGTGTTCCCACTTCCATTCAGGAATGGAAAGTGGTTGCAATAAGCCTGCTGGATGCTGATGTTCTGCCTTAACTTGTTGACAAGTAAGGCATCGACTGATATATTCGGCTATTTCTCTCTTCATACCCGACCACCAGTAACTCTCCTTCAAGTCGCGGTACATCTTCGTGCCCCCCGGGTGCATGGCATAAGCCGATGAATGAGCTTCCTCTAAGATGGACTTTCGGAGCTCATCATCTGCCGGTACACACACTCGGTCACGAAATAATAAGAGACCGTCATCTCTTTCTCTGAAGTCCTCCACCGGTCCCGCTTGCATGCGTTCCCGGATCTTCATAATTTCTTCGTCAGTTTCCTGACCCTTCTTGATCTCATCAAGTAAAGTAGGTCTCACCTCAAATCGTGCCAATAAGGCACCATCGCTGGATACCTCCAGTTGGGCTCTTAATGCTCTCAAATTAGCTAGCACTGCCCCAGACGAGCTCTTCCGGCTCAAAGCATCTGCCACCACGTTTGCCTTGCCTGGGTGATACTCTATCACTAGATGGTAGTCTTTTATCAACTCCATCCACCGTCTCTGTCTCATGTTTAGCTCTTTCTGAGTAAACACGTATTTCAAGCTCTTGTGATCAGTGTATATGTGACATGTCTCCCCGTAGAGATAATGTCTCCATATCTTCAGTGCAAACACCACAGCCCCCAGCTCCAAATCATGAGTAGGATAATTCACCTCATGCTTCTTCAACTGTCGTGAAGCATAGGCGATTACCCTCCCATTCTGCATCAGTACACATCCAAACCCTTGGATGCTCGCATCGCTATAGACATCGTACCCCACACCCTGTTTGGGTAATGCAAGTACCGGTGCCTCGGTCAATCGCTTCTTTAGTTCCATGAACCCCTTCTCACATTTGTCATCCCATACAAACTTAGCTCCTTTACGAGTGAGCTTTGTCAATGGTGATGCCAAAACAGAGAACTTCTCCACGAACTTTCTGTAGTAGCCTGCCAATCCAAGGAAACTACGAATTTCCTTGACGTTCTTTGGCCTCTCCCATTCGGTAATGGCTTCTATCTTCTTGTCATCAACAGCAATTCCCGATCCCGAAACCACATGCCCGAGAAAGCCAATTTCCTTTAGCCAAAATTCACATTTAGAAAATTTGGCATAGAGTTGCTTCTCCCGTAGTGTCTCAAGGACAAGTATCAAGTGCTCCTCATGTTCTTCTTCACTCTTTGAGTAAATCAAGATGTCATCTATGAACACAATCACGAATCAGTCCAAGTATTTATGAAATACTCGGTTCATCAAGTCCATGAATGCCGCTGGGGCGTTTGTTAACCCAAACGACATAACAAGGAATTCAAAGTGCCCATACCTTGTGCGAAAAGCACTTTTTGGTATGTCATCTTCCTTAATCTTTAATTGATGGTAACCCGACCTCAAGTCAATCTTTGAAAACACGGTTGCCCCTCGTAGTTGATCAAACAAGTCATCAATCCTAGGCAAGGGATACCTATTCTTGATTGTGACCTTGTTCAGTTGACGATAGTCAATACACATTCGAAGTGTCCCATCTTTCTTCTTCACAAAAAGAACTGGTGCTCCCCACGGGGAGTGGCTTGGTCTAATGAAACCATTATCCAAAAGCTCTTGCAATTGGGTTTTCAACTCGTTAAGTTCAGCGGGTGCCATACGGTATGGCGGTATGGAGATTGGTTTGGTACCAGGCTCGACCTCGATCACAAACTCAATCTCCCTATCAGGTGGAAGCCCCGGTAGGTCTTTAGGGAAGACATCCGGATACTTACAAACCACCCTCACGTCGTCGATGTTCGTTTCCTCCTTGGTTTTGTCAACCACGTATGCTAGATATGCGTGGCACCCCTTTCTCATCATACTTCTCGCTCTCACGGCGGATATGATACAACTGTTTGATTTGCCTCGATCCCCCTCGAAGCGTAGGGTTTCCCCATCGTTGCCTTCGAGTTCCAAAACCTTTGTGTAGCAATCTACCCTAGCATGATGCTTTTCTAGCCAATCCATCCCTAGGATTGCATCGAACTCCATCATACTCAGCGGTACGAAATCACACGTCAAGGTTTGGCCATCGATTTCCACCTCACAAGATGGATAGTAACTAGCTCTTTCAATGTCATCCCTTAGTGGTGTTGATACCACTAGAGTTTGCGTCATTGGGATTGATTGTATCCCTAAATCCTCGGCGAACGCCTCACTCACGAATGAACGTTGCGCTCCGGTATCGATAAGGATTCGTGCATCCTTCCCATTAATCTTTAATGTTCCTACATTTATAAGCCATGTAAGACACCATTCCTAACATGTCTAAACTTTATTTAGGGTTAGGGTGCATTTACCGTTCAAACGGGGTGGGTCCCGTTTTGATACAGAAAATTTTCGGACGAAAACAGCTTCAGACCGGCGCCGGTTCAGGCCTGACCGGTGCCGGTTGTCTGGGTCAAGCAACCCAGCTGCACCGGTTAAAATGAGCCGGTTCCACACAGGCCGCTTCCAACGAAGGTCCGGCGCCGGTTGGTGGGTGTCCGGCGCCGGTGGGGTGGTTTCGCAGGCCCGGAGCGCCGGTTATAGAGAGCCGGTCGGACACAGGCTCATCCCAGGGCATGTCCGGCGCCGGTTAGTGGGTGTCCGGCGCCGGTTGGCTGGAAAAAAGCCCAGGTTGTGCGCCGGTTGGGGAGGGCCGGTCCGAAACAGGCTGCTCTCCAAGGCATGTCCGGCGCCGGTTAGCCTCGGACCGGCGCCGGTCGGGGCGATTACTTTGGTTTTTACTTCGTTTTCGTGAGTCGGAATGCCAGGTCTTGCCCCTACGATGGCCGGGCCTTAACCCTTAAATCCTATAAACCTTAAATAAGGCTAAAATACCATACTTTAATGAGATAAATACCTGCAACGGAATCCGGGTTCGCTCGAGCATCCGCCTCCGTCATCGCATAGACTCTAGCTTGAGTCCTTCCTTGATTCACGGATGGCGCATTGCTCGCGCTTGCTCCCCCTTGTCCCCTGCTTGCTTGAGAAGCCCTGGTCTGATTCTGTGTACCCGTCGAGCCACTACTTGGTCCCGATGTCCTTGCCCCACCCAATTGTGGGCAATGCGCCTTCAAATGCCCGGCATCCCCGCATTGGAAACATCTAGGTGGGTCGCGACATTTACCGGAGTGGTTCCTCTTGCAATTGTTGCAACGAGTTACCGCTGAGGCCTGTTACCTCGAGCCTTGCCCACTTGGGCCTTGGTTCCCCCTAGATGGCGGCGGCGGTGCCCGGAAAGATCCTCCTCCGTGGTTCCCCTTTTTGTTGGAACCTTGGGAGCCATGACTCTCCCACTTCCTCTTTTTCGCCTCTTCGGCGTCTCTCTTCTTCCTCTCCTCCCACTGTTTCTCCCCTTTCAACCCTTGGTCGACCACTTGAGCGAACGTCATGTTAGGCAATTGTGTTGCCCTATCACGTATCTCTAGGTCTAGAGCATCCCAAAAGTGATTCACCATCCGGTTCTCATCACAAGCATACTCCGGTATGTAATCGGCAAGGTCCCTGAACTTGTACTCAAGTTCCCTCACCGTCATGTTACCCCCTTGGGTTAGAAGGGTGTATTCCCTCACCTTTTTGTTCACCTCGAAATCCGAGTAGTATTGTGCAAAGAATTCTTGTCGGAAATCCTCCCAAGTGACGGTCTCACCATATTTGCTTTTGGTCCCATCCCACCACTTGGACGCCATACCTTCAAGTAATCTCACCGCAACCCTTAGTTTATATTCGGGGGTGAGTTGCATGTCCAGGGCTGCCTCATTCAGCCGCTTAATCCATTGTGCCGAAACGGAGATGTCACCCGTCCCATCGAACAGTTTGCACCCCAAGTCTCGTGCCTCTTTGATGTATTTGGAGATCCTTATGATTGGACCTCCATCACCCCAGCCCCCATGTGGTTCAATGTGGGCCCTAGAGTCGCCATGGCTTCTCCCTCTTGAAGCCCCGCCCGAAGGTTGCCCAGCCCGGCGCCTTCGGCGTTCCCTCCTCTCCTCACGCTCACGGTGGTACTGTTGAAGTAGTGCTTCAATCCGTGCAAAGGAGCCATTTTCCTCCTCATCACTTACATCATCATCATCCCCTTCATAAGGGGTCTCAACCGGTTCCGTTTCCGGTTGGTAAGTCGAGTCCTCATAGGACCAGTAGGTTTCACTTTCTGTGTCGACATGACCGTCACTCACGGTCTGTGATCGGCCTCCACGGCCAGCTCCTCTAGATGCCCTAGAGGTCCTTCGACTGCCCTGTCCAGTCTCCACTGGTACACGGCCGGTCGGGTTCCTCCTAGTAATCCTGCCACCACGGTCCATTTCTGAAAGAATTTTTGGAAAGAGTCGTTAGACTCGCATCAAATGTCAATTGACGGATAGGTACTTAAGACACATTTTGGCTCGAGTCACCGCCATACCAATTGCTAAGGGTACCATCTTAACAATTAGAGACCTTGCAACCCAAGTACCAAAAGCTCTCCAAGTACAAAACTTCCATGCTCATGGTTTTCAAAATCTTTTTCAAAAAGAGAATTTTGAGACTTCATTATGAAGTTTATGGACTAAGGCTCTGATACCAACTTAATTGTCACGCCCCGGACCTCCCCGGACACGTCAACAACCCGCCGTACAATACGAATAGTCAACCGCAGTCCAACACATTCATATTATACAAGGCGTCATGAATATCATTCACACATAAGTCATCCATAAACATACATAATAAACAATTCAATACGCAGCGGAAAACATTGTTTAAAACAAAAGGGCCACACAGGGCAAACATGAGCACACAGGCTCCAAAGTAGAATATCCATGAGCATGTTTATTAATGTTCTAAAACAGGATGGAGGAAGCACGAACCAAGTCTTCTCTCCGGGGAAATCACTCGGGCAACGAGCACAGGAAGCAAGCTCTAGCCTCAACCTGAAATGGTGGTGGGACGCCCCCGAAGGGGTCAGTACTCTATACGGCTATAAAGTACTGGTGTGGCAGGCATCTAATAGATATACAACAAGTATTTCAAACACAAGACCCTCAAATAGGGTCATAGTATATTATGATTTGTAACCCTAAGTTACCCATTTGAAAATATACTTACTTTATGTAAAAGTCAAGTAGTCGGCCCATGGGCCCATGTTCATTTAGAAATCACCATTCCCATTCCCTGTGGCTACAAACCACGATAACTCAATAGGGTCCAACCCTAACACATGACATTGTATTCTAGAGCTCGGCTCTACCACATCACCATATAATTCATGTCACTCGGGTCAATTTCCTTACCTTGCGTTCTAGAGCTCGGCTCTATCACATCACCACGCAAGCCCTAGAGCTCGGCTCTAGCTATACAATACATAGACTCCAAGTCTACACCTTACATGCATTCTAGAGCTCGGCTCTATCACATCACCATGCATTAAGGTCAAATTCTCAAGCAACCCTATGCCTAGAATTGACATATCATTAAACTACCATGGGTCATCCTTAAAGACTTCCCATAACTTAACCTTAGTTCCATACTAAGTTATTATATACACTTGAACTATATTCAAGTACCTTTCATACAATCCAATCCCTAGGATCAATTTAATCAACAAGTTCCAATAATCACTAACTAGTATTTCAATACTATTAAGATTATTGTTATCATACCACTATCCTCTTTATTTGTAATTCTCTACATAATTATAATTATGTAGCAGCAACTTAAGTATTCAATCTCAATACACAAATATTCATTTATGTATCCAAATAATTCATACATGAGCAAAATACCTATTTCGCAAAAATAGTTCATTTATACTCATTTAATTTAATCTCATATTAAACCCAAGCCAATAAATTTTGTTATTCACAAAATCAAATTATTCATACAAGATTGGTCAAGAGCTAAGATACAGAAGGTTAAAGCGAGCCCAGCAAGGATGCTTTTTGAGGAAAATCTCATTTCTGATTCTTTTAATAAGATTGAACGCAGATATCGAGTTGTGAGGTGGAATTTACCTGTTTCGAGCTTTAAGCTGAATGTAGATGCCTCTCTCTTTCAAGGTCAAGCTACAGGTGGGGCGGTGATGCGTTCCAAGTCTGGGAATTTCGTTTGGGCGATTTCCTTTCCCGTTGAAGCAAGGTCGGTTCTTGAAGCTGAGAGGCATACTCTTTATACAGCTGTGTCTTGGGCTATTGGGAAAGGTTTTAGGGATTTTGAAGTTGAATCCGATTCTTTGGAGGTTATCAGATCGATTGAAGATGGTTTGCAGACTAGGAGATGGAGAGGCTTGTTCGAACAGATGAGAATTTGGAAAGCTGAGCATCATATATCTTTTGGGCATATTTTTAGGGAGCAAAATTGGCCAGCTCACTACCTATCCAGATGCAATCCTGATGCCAGCTCACTTCAGGCTTATTTTTCCATTAATGAATTGCATAGTACTATTAAAAAGGCTTTATGTGCTGATAATTATGGCCTTTTTTATTTTCGTCATTAATTTTCTTACTCATTGTATTTTCGTCTTTTCTTGCTCTCATTTATTTAATGTTGTTAAAATTTTTGAAGGAAGTTTTGGCCTAGTCCCCTTCCTTATGTACTATCTACCTATTTAATAAAATTATGGCATATGTCTCCCGGCATATGCCCCACTGATTTTGGTGGTTTGCCTTCCGGGATGAAAAAAAAAAAATAATCTCATATTATTCATACATTCTCAAATCATTTCAAATTTCATTCTTTGGCAACTATATCAATATTTCATCAATATATAATCATCATAATCCATGAAAAATAATGATTTAAGCATTTAGGTAATCTCATGCTTAACCTACAAGTTGTAAGCAATTAGATGTCAATCCTCACCTCAATTGAGCTTTAAACTTTCTCTTCTTGGTCCAATGGTCAAAGCTTTGGTCAAGGTGGATTTGGAACTAATTCCTTGCTCAAATATGAGTGTTAAACAGCCTCCTCAAAGTGCTAGTTCAACCCTTAATCGTTGATACGAAAACAGCCCCTAGAATGGGTGTTTTCCGGTTAACTCGTTTCCTAGTTTTCCAAGATTTTCTCTAGGTTAGTATCTAACCTTTACATCAATAAAATAACTTTATAAGGACATATTATACACTTGGATTAGTGTACAATAGTTCCACCAATCGTTCATATCATTTGGAAAATGAAAGGAAAGGTTTTGGGGTTAACAACTCACTTTAGAAAAGTAGATCCGTTTCTGCGAGGTTGTGTTTTGCTCGGACGATTTGGAAGCCTTCCACTACTCCGATTGATTCAAACCAGACCTTCACGGATTCCTCGTCTTGAGAGATTTCTTTTGGTATCTCACACGCCTTAATTGGATTGGTATAACTCGAGATATCCACCAAACAGCTTCAGCACTCTCAGAGCTCGAGTTTACAGACCACTGCTCGCTCCAGATCGATTTGTGAATGATTACTCTCTCCTCTCGAACAGAGACCACTCAATTATAAAAATAGACTTCAAAGACTATCCAAGGACACCTTATACACGTTGTTTGGTCGAGTATAACTCCCATAATGAGTGGAGACAAACAGCACACCATTTTGTGCGAAAAATAGAGATGGTGGCCCAACATTTGATTCCTATCAAGTCTTGTGCAGCTCCTCTCCATGGTGGTCGGCCAAGGTAAGTCTTCTCACTCATTTTTATTTGTCTTGCAGGTACTAATATCATGTGGAGTGGTTCCCCATTGATCCCAATTATTTTGGGGTCCAAAATATCTATCAATACTTCCAAAAATGGGAAGATGGGTTCTATTGTTTTATCTTTTGTCAAGGATGTCTTTTTTGTACTCATCCTAACTTATTTAGAACAAGTCAACTTCCTACATCACATTATTGATCTCCAATATGTGTAGGCTCATCTCAATAATTTACATGATGAAAATTATAAAAGAATACGGGTTTGAACAATACAATATTCAATCATGTACTACGTAAAATATTAATCGTTTTTCCATTGTTTTGAAATCGGAAATTCAATACATTACTTTGAATTTAAGAATGGAATTTTCAAGGACGTTCGGGTGCGGTGTCACAGTATTATTCGAATGTGAGCAGCTTGTGATTACAATGAAGGATATCCTATGTATATGAAGGGTAGTTAATGCTCTCATGATGACTTTGTCCGTTACTGACGAGTTAGTCGTTTGTTAGTAATGGGTTGGCCGTACTTTATGGCGAATTCAAATCTGTCATAAAGGCTGGTCAATTACACTTAATATCTTCCTTAATCGCATTAAAGAGCCTAATAATGTATAGAAAACGTTACAATGTTTAAAAATGAGAGTCGTGGACGCTTGATTAACTCGAGTTGTCCGTTATTGGCGGTTTGACTTGACGGTTCCGACCCGACGGTTTCACAACTCATCATTAATGTTTGCCTAGCTCAAAATGGGTAACCTCCCGCCTTAATATCGTTATTAATTGCAATAATAAACACAAATCCATTACAACAGCCATCAATAAGCCTCATGAACGTATCTCTGTGGTCAACCCTCTCTAATGCAACATAAACCGTCAAATTCTTGCTCTAACAATATATATATATGATCATCTATTATGAATGCGGGCGTCAATAATGAAATATAATTTGATTTAGAAACGGTGTAGAATATGCATAAATAATCGAAGAGGGTAGCATATATATATAACATACATATAGAGGGCGACTTATATAGTAAGAGAGCTCTTTCTTCTCTCTAAAAACCTAGCGGCCGTCTCCCCTCTTTGTAGGGATTGAGATTTTCCGTCGTCCCTATTAATATGGGGCTAGAGCGGCAGATTATTTTGATTGCAAGCTAAGTGTTCTAATGCTTGGGATTGTAACTACTTCGAAGGAGATAAAGTTGGCGGATAAACGGATTGCGGCTGAGAGTTTGTATCGGTGCTGGATCGTGAAGCCTTGGTCGGTCGCTCCGGCGGTGGTGGAGTTGGTATTCACCAATATTGCAAGAGCTCGTCCTCCTCCAGAACCACCTAAATACCAGGAAGAATTTTGTGGAAAGATTTTATTTCAATTTTATTTTCTCTTTAGTAGTACTTGTTTTTGTTTTAGTTCGAGTCGATTTGGTTTGAGTGTTTGGGTTTTTGGAGTTCTTTTGATAAGCAAGGTTTCAGATCCGTTCGTTTTAGGCTTAAATTTGCCCGTTTCAGGTTTACCGAGTCAGGTTGCTTTGTATGAGGTGGCTGATTCTATGTCTACTCCTAGGGTTCACGATTGAATATGTAAAATCTGTCTAAAGATTGTCTTGTAGTAACTTTTAGTGATATTTTGTCAATAAGTTTATTTCATAAATATTTTGAAAGTTGAATATACACATAGTATATATATATATATATATTGTGGTTCCAATGATAATGATGTTTAACGTGAAAACGTGAGAACATTCACAATTACATCAATGTGGAGCACAATGGAGCTCTTTTGTTGCACATTTTTAACTTTGCTCAAATTAAGTCAATAATAAATAACATGATGGCATTTTGGTAAATATTATGACAATGTGGAAAAATACAACAAATGAGCTTCATTGTGCATCATCACACTAAAGTAAATGTGGTGTTCTCGTGTTTTCACGTTAAGCCTTGTTCTTATTTGCTCCGGATTCAATACACACACACACACGCTCCCGCGCACTCCATATATATACATATGTATAGTACTGATGGTACCATGGATTCTAGCCATGGCCCAATTACGTAACCCAGCCCACAAACGGGATCAGCTCTCGACGGGATTAGCCTAATTAACAGGATTAGCCCATAAATGGGATCAGCCCTTGACGGGATTAGCCTAATTAACAGGATTAGCCCATAAACGGGATTTATATTGAATACGGAGGAACCCACGATAAAAACCCACAGCCAGGCTGAGCTGGACAACAGACCTCAAGCCTAGGCGGAGATCTAGTGAGGCCGGGATATTCCTAAGGCCTACATGGCAAGCTATCATTCGATGATAGATATTTGGCAACAGGCAGAACTCGACCGGAATCAGGAGATGATTATTGCGTGAGGATGAAGCACAGAAAAGAGTTCTATTTCGAGCAAGAATATAGTTTATTAATTAAGCATTTATTGTATTAGATTCCTCCCATAATTCCACCTTCTGATCTCTATAAATACTTCATGTAAACACCCTACCAGGGGATGGGTAATTGGTTCTCTAGAATAAGAGAAATACTGCCTTACGCTGCCATATTATTTCGATAGTATTTCTATACTCTGCGTATATTTAGCTCTCGTAGTTGGGTTAAACTCCATCAAGTACAAAGCGGATTTCTGACATCAAACCGGTTCATCGTACCTATAAAAACATGATATTTGACTATGAAATAAGCTTTATTTGATGGTTTCAATTAAATTTTTGATGATTTAAATGATCGAATTTGAAAGAGAAAATGACTTCGTATCATTTTTATTATATGTTTGAGTTGCTGGAATATGAAATAACTATTTAATTGATATGTATTACTATTTGTGATAATTCATACTACCATTGGAACATGAGGAGGTGATATGGTTATTAAGAAAAATAGTTTATGTCATTGATATTGAAATGATGATAAGGTAAAAACAAAGTAAGAATACTTTTTGGTATGATAATTGCTTGTTGTATTTTGTGTTGTTTTGAATTGGTTTTGAGATTTGTGAATTGATTGGAACTTTTCAAACGGTTGCTCCTAGGTATTCCTTATCCTAGGATATCTTGTGAAATATTGAACTTTAAGAATTATTATGAGACTATTCCTAGTATCCTATACCTTGTGATATTAGGTAGAAAAATTAGTAGACTATTTTAGGAATTTTTAGTTTCCTAAATTGTTTGTATGTCTTTGGTAAGAACTATGACTACTAGGAGGAACAATCACGAGGACAATGCCCCTACAAATGCGGAGTTAGCTCAGGATTTGACACAGCTGGCTCAACTTACTCACACCATTACGCAAGCGGTTCATCTGAACCAAAATCAGCAGCCACACCACCATGGCAACGACATGAGCAGGTTGGTTTCCGGATGGAATTCCCCAAAATATTTGGGAGAGGGGGATCCTCTTATCTTAGAGGATTGGATTAGAACTACTAGGTAGTTTTGAGAGGCCCCAATTTCTAGCAAACCTGGAATCAAACTCGCGCTGAGGCAAGTGAAGAAGTTTTTATGGCAAGGTCATGATAAATCTACTTAAAAAGATCACTAAATTTCAGTGGGGAGATTATTGTGAGAAGGAGTTTCAAGAGCTAAAGAAGAGATTAACAACATCCCCTGTTTTGACACTTTCGTCAGGGATGGAAGGGTTTGAGATCTACAATGATGCATTTATCAAAGGGTTGGGTTGCGTGCTCATGCAAAATGGGAAGGTAGTGGCCTATGCATCAAGGCAATTGAGGATTCATGAAGCGATTATGCCACTCATGACCTGGAGTTGGCAGCCATGGTATTCGTCTTGAAAATTTGGAGGAGTTGAACAATAGGCAGAGGAGATGACTTGAATTAATCAAGGACTATGACCTTGAGATTCAGTACCATGAGGGGAAGGCCAAAGTTGCGGCCGATGCATTGAGTAGGAAATTGGGACATTTGTGTAGCGCAACATGGATACTACCGGAGGAGCTGTATCGAGACTTTCAAAAGCTGAATTTGGAAGCTAAGGAACAAGGGGATGTGGACAGGGAGATACGGTTGTACTCCATGGCCGTTACTCCATCCATATTTGATGAGATTAGGAGAAGATGGACCGGTGATATGAAGTAGGACAAAATTAGAGTTGGCATGGTTGAGGTAAAAAACGTCCCATTTGAGTTGCATGAAGATGGAAGCATTCACTACAAAGGTAGATGTTGTGTTCCCATGAAGTGTGAAGAGGTTAAAAGGAAGATCTTAGAGGAGGGACACAACCTTCCTTACTCGGTTCACCAAGGAGGAGGCAAACTGTACAAAGACATCAAGAAACATTTCCCGTGGGCTAAGATGAAACGTGAAGTTGCTGAATTCATATCCAAAGTGGAAGTGGGATTCTATCTCTAGGGATTTTATTGGAGGCTTGCCCTTGACAAAATCCGGGAAGGATAAAATCTCGGTCATTGTTGATATTTTGACAAAGACGGCGAGATTCATACCTATGAAGAAGACCTGGAGCATGGAGCAGATGACTAAGGCATACGTGAAGAATGTGATGAAATACCATGGGGTACCGAAAGATATTGTTTCAGATAGGGATTCCTGATTCCTATCGTAGTTAACCCACTTCGGTCAACCCTACGGTCAAACCTCTTTAATGCAACATAAACTGTCAAATTTTTGCTCTAACAATTGCCCCCTTTCGAGAAGTTGACGCGTACAATGCAGGGGTTGGACCTTTAAGCGGCAATTTGTCAAAATTTTGAAAGAGCTTATACATTGCATCTTGGTTCATTGCGCCTATTGACTCGTCAACAACTTGTCATGACGTATTGATCAACTCGTTTGATGAAATG